CTTATTTTGGGGTGGAATCCATTGGATTCTCTGGGCTTGACTCCCCACATTCTGATCCAGTTTGTCGTGGCCCTGAGGTCAGTTCCAGGGAGACACCCAGTGTTTTCAGGGCACTTGCTAGGAACTGAGCCCATGTGCTCCGAAAGCAGCATCCCTTTTCCATGCCACATGCAGGAGCCTTTGCTTGTGCTGCTACACCTCACATGGAAGGAGGCTGTCCATAGAGGGCTCACCAAAAGTGGAGCTCTCCCTGCAAACAGCATCCTTCTTCAGCACCACATACAACAGTCTTTGTCCTGTTGCACCTGATGTGGAAAAAACTTGCCTGGTGCTTGACCTTCATTCCATTAGCAGTTGTGGACTTGCATGCCGAGAAGCTTTCTGCACAGCTTCAGCTTCTGGACCAGTCTTTTGGACACCTCTGTGTAGAACACATTCAAGCCATCCTGGCTTGAGGTTACCAGTCCTGTGCCGGACATGGGGCTTTCCCAGACCTAGCTAGAAATCCCAGTAGGCACTGATCCCAGGAATTCTGGATGACAAAGCCACACTGGAATGCTCAGTGATCCACCCCTCACTGAATGGAAGCCCCTTGCATCCCAACTCTGCTTTCCTATAGTGTGCAACCAAAGCATGAAGCAAAGAAATATAATTCCAGTGAACTGTAACTGAGATCATAGTAACACACCCCAAGTATAGTTCAAACCGACAACCAGTTCAGAAACTTTACATGGGAATTTTATTTTGTTTTCACCTGTTTAAATTGTTTATCATGGATATTCTTTTCAAAATTCCATAAATATACATGGAAATTCTAGACATATTAGAAGTTAATACAGGCCTGAAATGGGGAATAATGGGCAAGAAAAAACCAATAAATATGCATTTAAATATAAAATAATACAATGTGTATGCCTTTATACAGTGTTAATATACAGTATAAACAGCAAAGTTTTGTCATGTCAAAACAACTTGCTGAAGCGAGAAAGAATGAAGTTTGCTGTCAGTCTGATCGTCTTTGGAACGTGAATAGCACCTCAAGCTAAGGAATGATTGTCAAAAGTCATCTAGACAATATGTTCAAGTAAAAACAAACAAACAATGAAGCTTCAAAGATGTACTAGTTTTGCAAATTAAAAAATAGAGAAACAAATACAGCTACAATGAGTCTTAATATTGCTTACAAAATTTCAGAAGGGTAAGGACATGTTTACATAGTAGAGCATTGAAGTAAAGATACATCAATATTCATTTTCACTCATTCAGATTAATTCCTTGGGCCGCAACCCACAGAACTACACAACGCACTGTGTGCATAGCAGGAATTTTGAATGCTATTTTCCAACCACAAACCTTCCCTATGGCAAATGGCTTTGGAAATGTAGGGCTTTTCTTATTTCTGAACCGTAGGGCTGACCATTCTTTAAAGGGGACAATTGTCCTGGTGAACACCCGAAAGCCCTTAGACAAGCTTAATAGCCACTTTATGGTTTGGGATCATGGTTTTCCTTTGCATCCTATAAGTAGGTAACATTCCATGCATATCACATCTCTCTGTATGGATTTAGAAATAGAGAGCAATGCTTTGTAATGGATGGAAAGTACAGAAAGCTCAGGGAAAAACAGAATGCTTCCTTCCATAAAAACAAGAACAAAATATCTGGGGAAAGAATGATTCAGCCACCCATTTTCCTATTTTATCCTGCTCCTCCACAGCTTCTGAACTTTCATATCTCTAATGGAGACACAAATTGAAGTCATGCAATTTTAGCTTCAACATTCTTGAAATATCTGTAGCCATGTCTGGTTTTTCACACCAGGCTGATCAAGCCATAATAACTGAAATTAAACTAATCCAGTTCTATCAAATGGAATGAGTTAAGATTGAATCCAAAATCAACCCCCTTTTTTGTTTGTGTTTTACAAAAGGATCATATAAATGCACTTGCTTAATGACTCCTTGGACCCTGAGTAGAGCAGTCTATAAATACAACACTTTGTAAGGCCTTATCTTTTCCCTGTCCATGTACCCAGCTGAATATGCACTCTTACATTGTGAGTAGATTCACGTGACCATAGTTGAAGATTTAGTTTTCTTCTTAGCCCTGAGGAACTCACAAAGCATTGCTCTGTATCAAAGATGGGAAACCTGTGGCCTTCCAGATAGTTTTGCCTCCGACTATCATCCCTACTAGTACTACCTGGCTAGGACTGATGAAGGCCAAACCATTTGGAGGGCCACAAGTTCTAAATGTTCCATCTTATGCCTAGATGCCAACTCAATACTTCATTGCTAATGTCTTTGTGAACTACTGATAGATGCCTGTGAAAATGACTGGATTCTAGCCCAATGGGCAAGAATTTGGGGGTACTTGCCCACCTCCAGTCAACTGCCCCCTCACCTCTTAATGTAATGTAATTTAACAGCTCATTTCAGACCAACCTATCACATTTTAAGGGAGGAAGAGGTCAATCTGTCTGTGGGACATGTTATTACCCAAAGACTTGCTTCCTTGCCTGTTCTCTTCACATTTGAGAGAGAACATTTTTAGGGGTGATTCTGTTTATTAGTGGGAAATCATATGAAGAGATTCTTGCAGTGATGAATCCATTTTCACTACAAGCTCATTTATTTGTGGGTAGTTGTTCAGCATGGAGCAACTGATTGTGATTTTTTAGAAAACATGTAGTACCAACTGAACACTCTTAAAGTTTAGAAAACACAAACATTTGTCTATTCTATACAGTACTCATGTCAGTGCCTCCTCTTGGTCTGATGGTACAGAATGTTCATGTGTGTTCCAAGTTTTCAGGGAACAAAGCTGACATGAATATCTACAGTCCAGTGTTTATGAAGAAAATTATTGATCTGGCTGGGTTTAGAAACTTGTGAGAACCCTAGGAACAAGACTAGCTTGGTAGGGTAGGCTGAAGACTGGAAAGAGACCTCAGGGGTAGGGAAGCCTAGACACAAGCTGTTAAAGAATTCTTTCAAGTAGACAACAGGTTGATAAACAGACAAAAGAATGACAGGGAAGCATGAAGAAAAAGAGTGAAAAAGTTAGGGGCTGATAAAAAAAAAATAATGAGGATATGTGCATTGACCACATTGTCCTCAAAATGTGCATATTGTTTTGAACTAAGAAATCAATTCTTGGACTGCAGCATGGCCAATGTCCAGGACTGGCACCATTGGGCAATTCCCTGAAATCCCCTGCCCCGTTACTCCTTCTCTCTGCAGTTGCTTGCTTTTTCACCAGTCTTCCCTTACCTTGCAAATGGTACAAGGAATCAAATTGAATAGAGGGCCTATACAGCCATCCCCTGCTCTGCTGCCGCATGTGGTCACCCATCCAGCTGCAGTCCACGCCTTTCCAGCTTAGCAAAGGTGACTCGACATGCTAGCCTGAAGCGTAGCTCTGCAGGAGCGGAGGTAGCAGCAAGCTCGCTCACATACCTGGCCATTTCTGTTGGCAGTTTGTGTGGATTTGGCCAATAAGACAGGCAACAGCAGCAACAGTGGTGAGGAGGAAGTGGGGACTCCACTTGGGAAGAAGACCTTACCAAAAGGATCTTGCCCAAAATCTAGCTCTGGACTGCTGGCTTCTAGTATGAACTTTACATGTTTTACTATAGGTTTCCACATGTCAGTACCTTTCAGATATGTTGAACCTCAATTCTTATAGCACCAGCCAGCATGGCCAGGTTGGGGAAAGCTTCTTTTTATTTTTTATTTTTTTACTATGCAAGCAACTTTTTCACAAGGAATACTTTGGACATAACTGCTCCCACACAGTTTAGGCTATTAGGCAATATAGAAATACATCAAACGGATGTTAAAAAATTCCTCACATCTGCCTACTTTGGATACAGGGCTGGTGACGAAATTGATCTAGGTCCCTGTGTTCATCAAAAACTGTGTGCCTGGTGAAAGCTGCTATGTTAGCAGAAGGACCCATAGAAATGGCAGAATGAGCAAGATACTGAAGTCAAGTGTCCACTGAGACAATGCTAAAATGCCTCGCTATTACAGATGGGAGTGGGGGGCAGGAACAAACCAACCACCTTGGCCTTTGAAAATCCATCAATTGCAATGGGAGCATTAAGGTGCTCTTAAGATGTGATTGCACTGAAGCATGTTGTATGTTCCTCTTGACGGCAGTAATAGTTACTCATAGCCCTATAGTAGCTCACAGTAGCCCTGTTCAGGAATGGAGTCCTCAAGCGATTCAAGTCAGGCTTTCTCATTTTGTGGACCGCCTCAGCATGCAAAACAAACTTAATTCAGACTTTCTTGTGCAAACGCAGAATGGAAGGTTGTGGGTCCAGAGACAGGGGTGTGGCAAAGAGCACAGGCCAGCTCACACTGCCATGTTCTTCCCTCGCACAATTCCAGAAAGCCTGAAAGGAACTGGGGAGCAGGATGCATTTAACTTCCAGGATTTTGGCATACCAATATGGACCATCTTTTTTTCAAAGAGTTCTGGCCCTCTCAGGGTTCCCATGAGTTAAGCCTCTTCAGTTCCCATGAGTGTCCATGCACCAAGTTGCCATTTGTTCCACCACAGGCTTTGGTTTTGTGTCTGTTTAATACTGTAGGTGTAAACTCAGTAAAAATTAAAAAAAAAAAACCAGTCCAAAGTACTCTGTGTTCCGACTGTTCACCACAATGCATACACACATTTTTAAAAGGCAGTCCCTTAAACTCTGACAGCAGTTTAAAATATATGGTTATATTTTAGGTCACACTGAGGCAGGGAACTACAGCAATGTTGTAAAATATTGCAATTCACTTTTTAAATAAATTGCTCTTAAAGAGTGGAATAAAGTGAAAAAATACTTATAAAGTATTCCACTGCACACACACACCCACACACACACAAGATAATTGGTTGAAGTATTTTTCATCTTTTGCAAATAAATTTTACTTACCAAGCACAATTAAAAAGAACACATTCCCAGCAGATATGAAAAATGAAGATTACATTCTAATACAGGAAGGCTTGCAAAGAATTAGGCAACTTTTATTCTTTTGGACAGATTTGTTCAGGTATTTTTAATACCACTTTCAACATGTTTGTGTACATTCATGGTTCATGTCTTCATTATTTACATATTCCAGAAAAGCAGTACATATTGGCTGGGATTCAGAAAAGGAAGATATGCTAATACAAGAGAACTGTGTACTGAACTGGAATTTTGCTTGCTGGTTTGGCCATAACAGTTCTCACAGCTAATCTGCTCTTCAAATGGACCAGTAGCAGGTCACTTCCGCAGTGGAAAAAACAGCAAGCATGGCTACATGTGCACACAGGACTCCTTTTGGATTTCGGCCACCGTGCATAAATTTAGGTGCTGATTCCTCATCAGGAAAAGGATGGAGACGTGTGTACTGGTTGCCACAAAGTACTTATACTTGGTTCATCTCTTTAGATACTCATGGTCACTGAGGTTGAGACTTGACACTAGTTGATCGATTAAAGACTCGCTTTTGTTCTGAGCTTACAGAGCTTTTACAACTGGTTATACATAGGATACACTGCCATTCCATGGTACTCAAGGCTGGCCTTACGAGTGCGCAAAAAGGGTCGAAGCATTGCACTTATCTCTAGGATGCTTGACTAGCTACATTCCACACTGACAAGGCTATTTGTGATGAGACAAGTAGTCTATCAGCCCCAGTAATGCCACTTGATGGGGAACGTAAGTAGGGAGATGCCTTTGAACTCATGCCTGCTTTATGGGCTTCCCATGGGTGTCTAGTTAATCCCTGTAGGAACAGAATGCTGCCCTGGAGGTCTTTGGTGTAATTCTTCTTATGCTCTTAATTTAGTATCTAAACCAAGTTCAGACAAAGTGTGGGAAAATACAATGTTCCCAACAAATAGATTGTGCCTTAAAGAGTGATATCTGGATTCCCCCACAACCAATAATTATGGATTCATTTTTCCATAAACTAGAACATCTCAGAAATCTTGGTGCGTGACTAATATAGCAGGGATCAAATTGATGACTGCAAAGGGAATATATCTTATAGATGATTTTCATGGCATTATCTGAAGATCTTGCATTAGCAAGAGGACTGCTATCAAGGAGAGAGACACACATAGATATAAGGAGAAAAACAAGAATGCTTCTAAAAGTTACTAGAACCAACACCAGAGGGTATGCAATTGTTCTACACTGGTACTGAATGGAAACAACTTAGGTTATGTTTCTATGAACAGCACAAAATCTAATTGAACACAGCAGATCAAGATCACACTGAAGGAATAAAATGGCAAAAACCTGGGTCACTCAGAACCTGAGATGGAGAATGCCACAAAGATAAATTTGTCTCACGTGTGCCTCTAATTTACTGAAAAAGAAGGTAATATGTATGCGGACACATAGGATTCCTTAATATTCTTGACTTCACTCCCAACATTGCCTGCTTTGCAGAAACCTATCATAAATAGAGTGATAGGAATCTCCTATCCTTCTTAAGTTGTCAGTTTAATGGGATTGAACTATGCAATGACCCAAATTCTGAAATTTGGTGTCTTAAAAGGTTGATACCTCTAGGATACATATTTCTGTAGATTGTGTAGTAGTATTTCAGCTCTTAGCAGACTGCATTGCAGGTACCTTAAGGGCACAATCTTATAAATATTTAGACAGAAAAATGTCATACAATTCTAAGCATTCCCAAGCCAGCAAAAGTTGTAGGACTTTTTCTGTCTAAACAAGCATAAGGTTGTACCCTAAGTGGCTAAGCACAGGACAAAAACAGCAATGCATTACATCAGCTTCAGGTTTTCAACATACATCAGGATGAATTTAAGTAAAGAACAATAGATTAGATAAAATAAACATCTTAATAAAGCAAGCAAGCAATGAAACAGCCAAGAATTATAGCACTGGGAAATACTGGGGCAAATGTATTGCCATTTCTTTTTGACTTGGGGGGGGGGGCGGAGGGCGGTGACCTTGAGGTGTCAGTATATTTAATCTGCTTGAGAATCTGCCAAATAGCCATATCCCTTGGAGGTAAGAAAGGGTTTTAAAACATGAAGACAACATACTTTTCTAAAAGCAGTTTGCACATGCGTTGCATAAGCATCACATATGTATTTTATGAATCAACTCCTCAATTTTCACTTTTAAGATATTTGCTCTAAAATACCCAACAGAAGGGTTGGCATGATCATTTCCTTATCTATACAGGAAACAAACAGGGTCTTTTATGTATTCATTTGGAGCATTTGTGCGTCAAATTTTTACCATTGTCTCGTTCATGCTTTATTCTTGTCTAGGGGCCATCATGCAACTGATGTGGAGAGCTGGTGGTGTTCCTAGCTCTGTTGCCCACTTTTGTGCATTCTGAGCCCTCCACTTGTTAGCATGATTGTCACAGTGAGGAAGACTCAATGTGAACAGCAAGCTACACATGGGTTTCTTCCCTGCACAAGCCTGTGCTAATGTGTTGACACAGGACTAGGCAATGTGGCCAACACTGGGTTCAGGAACATGAGTAATCACACATTTTTGCAGATCGGTGCTCTTAGCAACTACCTGCTTAACTTATATGTACCTAACTATGGACAACTGCTTACATAGAAGAAAAGCTGGTAATGTTCACTATATGTAAAAGCCATGGTAGGGGAACAGTAATCATTCTATTTTCACATGAAGAAATGTGAAAATACAGTGTTCCTGAGTGCATGCCCCTAGATACCTTTTGGAAGCATTTGGTTCATTGATCTTGCTGCCACCATAGATCATTTTAAGGCTGCATTTTGAGATACGTAAGTGGCAGGTGGTTTAGAAATGTCACATGAATGTCTATGCATGCATCCAACGGGAGGAATAATACATCAAAGAATGTATGTCAGTTGAGGGTGGGGTTATGTAGTAAAGCTTGGCTTGGTTTTTTGGTAGTTATTGAGTTCTATAAATCCGCATGAATGGACTATGGTATGGCATAAAAACTCTATTTGGCTGATGAAAAATGTGCTTACCTAACATGCAAGTGGAACCAAATGGCACAGCCCTGCCTGGGTGTCTCATGTACTGGGTCTGTGTGAGTGTGAGTGTCTGCAAAGAAAGGGACTTTTGCATGCATAGCTATGTGAGCAAAGGTCTCTAAGAAAACCTGTACTGGTGTTTCCACTATTGCTAAAGTAAGCAATATTTTGAACCCCCAACTAAGGCTTGAGTTGGAAGTAAATCCTGACTCTCACTCCAGTTTCTGGGTCAACAGGAGTCAAGTTTCACTTTGATCTGAACAGCACATTTGAAGACATGACTTTACTTTCTGTCATATCAGTGAATGGCTTCTCTGGAAAAAAATAAAGCCTTGGATTTGAGGAAAGAGCTGGCCATAAGATCTGATAGTGGATGTCCTGGCCTTCAATGACAGAGTCACATCATGCAAGGTGGTACAAGATTCATTGCACTTACCAGCAGGCAATGCAAAGCCTCTGCACACCTTCAGACCATCTGTCATAATGACGCACATTGTCCTAGAATGGAGGTTGACTTAAATCATCCGTGCTTTAAAGGATGGGCTTTAAGCAGACCTTTCTCATAGGATGTGTTATATGGTGTGCTGCTGAGGAATGCTCCTTGTATAATGGGTTTATAGCAGCCACACAACTAACTGCTGAAATGGTGGGAAGGGGCAATAACAGAGGGAGAAACATCTCTGTCTTCCACCTTCCTTTCCCATTTCAAGTCCGCAGGTTTGTGAATTGATGCCGAGCTGATTTGTACTCACAAGAGAAACAGATGCGCTGCTTCTGCTTCCAAAAAGTCAGGTTTCCTTTTAGTCCTACCCCTCTCTTAGACATACATGTGGAATACAGTGCTAATGGTCATAGAAGGGAGCAGTCATTCTGCTTTCAAGTTCTTGGCTTAGCTAGATTTCAAGCACCAGGACTACTGCTTATCTTATTCGCCATGGAGAGAACAATCTCTTTTTCATTTGGGAGAAGTATGCTTTCTATAGGTGGATCACTGCCGCCTATGCAAAATGGAATCCCACCCTGGAGCTAGAAGTGAAATGAATGTTAGGTTTTATAGCAAAAGACTGAAATCTAGTTACAACAGTGCAATGCAAGATCTGCCACAGCACATTAGTGATGCATTTCCCTCCTGCTCTGCGGAGTGCCATGTTGGCAGCCTGGCCTCACACTGTTGCCATCGTGGTGCTGGAGGAGTTTCCTTGGTAACCAAGGGAAATAATGGAAATATCTGTCCGCATGTTCTATTGACCTAAAACAGGTTTGTGAAGGGGAAAGTGCTTGCTGGAATGCACTGGGACATTCCGGGAGAAAGCTTATTCCCTTTACAGTGGCCCACAAACAAACCAGGTACGATGCCTACTTCTGCCAGGCTGTATGCTCCCCCCCCACCCCTTTTGATGTTAGTTCTGTTCTGTATGGCCACCAGCAGTGCTCCGGTGGAGGGTGAACTGGAACAATGGAATTTTCCAGTTTGAAACTGGAAATTTCAAGCTGGAATTCCAAACTTTGAATTTCTGAATCAGCAAGTAAGGATGTACACAAATTCTATGTCTGTTCATTTAAGATTGGAATTTGCCATGTTCACACTTCAAAATTAAGTGGATTTTGCAGGCAAGGCTCACGCATTGCCAAACTTGCAATGCATATTTGCAACATGTGTACATTTTAAGAAACTGCAGTTTAAACAGACTGCATTTTAACATGCACTCTTTAAAATTACTCATTTTGGGAAAGTGTGCCTTTTTACACCTCAATCAATGTATATATTTAGATGCACACTTAAAAATGTGCTTTTCCTGTTCAAGCAGGGTGAGGAGATAGCTTACAATTGGGAATGGGAATAAACTTCAAGGTGGAAGTTGGGCAAGCTTGAACCTCACTCATGCATCCATTTTCTACTAGTGTAGGCCTGGATATCTGCCCCCAAATCCAGACTAGATTGGTCTGAAGCTGGTTGCCAGCAATGAGAGGCTTTCTTTGGCCTTCAGTTAAATGAAGAAACAAAGAAAAAAAAGAGACACACTTCAACTGAAGGGTGTTTGCAATGTCTCTCTCAGTGGTTTTTATTGTTCTTGTGTTCTTGAAACAAGGAAGGGGAGAATCTTAACAGGGACGGCTAAGCGGTGATTCATGAGCTAGACACAGCTCCAAAAAAATGCATTTTCTCTGGTCCCTGATAGTCCTGTAAAAGCCTGAGCACACATAGCAACAGCACAATCTTAGGCATGTTTAGACAGAAAAAAAGCCTAGCACTTCCACCATGGGCCATGGTTGGCCAGGCCTTGCTAGCAGTTCCAGGACTTTTCTCTAGGCAAAATGCACTGGATTGCATCCTAAAGCACTCATTCCTCACTGACAGCAACTTCTCAGTAGGGATCAGTTTGTGCAGCGAGTCCTCCCAGCAGTGTGTCAAGTATGGCAAGGTCACCGAGGATAGAAAGTTCGGTAATGTGGCAGTGGCATGTTTTAATAACCATGAATGCAAAACGATTTCAAACATGGATGGGGTAAAAGTGATGATCACAAGGCAACATGTTGTTCAAAATTGTACCCTGATCCTAAATATCTGTGCCAGCATTTCTACTTATGATATTGCAGTGATGCAGCAATTGATACAATCCATCCTAAGTAAAATTCTGCAAGACTTAGGATCAGGCCATACCTATTTACATTTCTAATCTATTACAGCAGAAGGAAGGAATCCCTCAGTCACTGTAATTACAGTACATATTGCACTTGGCAATAAAATCTACCACTTCTCGTATCTGATTTCATGTGTCTTTAAAATCCACATGTTAAAGTTTGATCTGAAATAATAGACCTTTTGATCCACTGGAACTGCAGTATAAAACAGTTTTTCATCTTTGTGCGCGTTTTACTCAAATAGTTGATAGAGACTCCATTGCTTTTACTGTCGTATTTAAACTCATGGTTTTCAATTCTTTTCTTTAGAGGCCAAAAATATACCAGGCAAAGCGGTCAATAGGCATTGACCATAGTTTGAGGATAGAAATCAGAGTCTTCCTTTACTAGGCAAGGACATATTTTTGCATTAGAAATGCATTTGGAGCAACAGCACTTGTTATTGGAAGACATTGTAGCCAAAGCCCTACCCTGTTTTTGAATGGATTCACTCACACGGATTTCCACTGCACCCAAATGCTCTTGATACCAAAGTAAATCAAAATGTGATGCCACAATCCCGGTCCCCCCATACATGGAGAACTGAATGGAGAACAGCTCCTCGGAGGATCTCAGAGTAACTCTGCCTTCCAAACCACACTGCTTCTGCATTCCCGCTTGCACACCTGGAGAGGTGCATACAGGTTGCTAGTGGCGTCAAGGCGAGGTGCAGAAGGCTCTCTTTGGCTGAGAACACCTGGGCATGTTGTAGCCTGCCTGGCAAAGCCAGAGCGCCACGCGTGCAGGTGCAGTGTGGCACTAGAGGGAAAGCTGGCAATGCCATTCTGCAGGGAATCCTTCCGGGCTGTCTTCTCTCAGTGTGGAAGGAGCAGGACTGTGATCTAATTGACCGGACATTATGGATTTCATTTTTATCTTTGCAACTCCCTACTCCCATTTAGTATTGTGACTCATTATATTTGCTACAAAACCTGGCCTGTATTTAGAAGAAATACTTCTAAGGAAAGTTATAAATACGAGTATTGGGACCACATCTTTTTCTATTAAATATTAGTTTCTCTTTCTGAGGGATTATCTTGAAGTTTGCTTGATCTGCTGACCGTTTCTTCACTCTCTTTGTGGGTCAAAGGTTCTACTTCTTTTGAATCAGCATTCTTCAGTGCCCTCTGCCTTTCTTCTTCTAATTTCTTCTCCTTTGCCAAAAGTCTGTAATTGATTGCATTCCCAATGAATAGCCAGATGCTTGCAATGATGACAATTACACCACAGACAAAATACATGTATTTGTAGTCTTTGGTGATGTCCACAAGCAAACCTGAAATATAGGGAAAAGGAATGCTCTTAAATAATGCAGAGGTTATGCAGAAATAGTGCAGAAATAACAGACCATTATTTCATGACAGACAAGAGGTTCTGAATTCTAAATGTGGGAAATGGGTTTCCATTGAAACTTCAAATATATGAAGATTATTATATTTTATTTTTAAGTGTTTAGTATTTTAAGGTGCTGAACTGGAACACAGCATCACAAAGAAAGGATTCAGAGTTCATGAACTGTGCCTGATATCTGCAAATACTTATGTGAGTAGTCTTCTCAGAGAAAATTATATGTGAAATGAACAGAATTCATTATTTACCCCCTTGTTCACTGTATTAAACCTCAAGGTACAGAAATCCATGGGATATACACCTACGTTATCTGTTAAATTCATATAGGTAATATTATATAGACAATCTGGAAAAGCATCACTACTGAATGGTTCTTGATGTTCATAAACATAACTTTATAGTTGTATGGTATGCATGTATGAGAGGAAGAGGAGGAGACTGAGAAAGAGAAGAAACCATATTAGAAACAATGCTGTTCTGTCAGATATACAATTGACAATGACATTTGGATTGTTCATGTGTCACTAGAAAAAGGAGCTTTTGGGACTGAATAATAGTATAAATATTTTAGATCCAATCCAGCCCTGAGGGGACGTGCAGAGAGGCAGCAGACAGTGATAACAGGTGGTATGAAATGAAGAGAATTATCTGAAAAGGTACATGCTAAGAGAAGTTGGGAACTTTGAGTGAAACACTCTAATTCTTACAGTGAATTCCTAAGTTACTTCATTCTGAAACAAGTCTCAATGAGTTCAACTGATTTATTCAACCCTAATGGGTTCAATGGGACTAATTTTCAAATAAGCTTGTTAAGCGAGGCTTATCATTATTAATGCAGGAGGTAAGCTTACTCCACTAGGTGGCACACTGAGAGAGTTTGAGTGGCCACTTTCCATTTGGAAGTGAAACCTCCTGCCAGCCATATCCACCAAACCTCCTGCCATGCCTATACAATGCAATTATTCAGTTCATTCATGCTTATCCGGTGTTTTGTTCAAGGACTTGTCAAATTTTAAATGCAAACTAGTGCAAAACAAAATCCCGGAGTTGCAAAGGTGAACTAAGCTCTAAATTTGTCAGCGATTACATTAATGTCTACCCATATAACTTTGAGTGAGATTTAAAGTCACAAGAACCTCTGTTGATGGTGTTTCCTTGACCCTTCCTCCTTAAATCCTCTAACACAAATTCAGTCCAGAAAGCACTACAGAACAAAAGTATTTTACTTGTGATTCTGGTTCTGACCAGGAAAGCTTTCTCCTGTGAGTTAGTGCCAGAATTGTTCTCTGAATGTCTCCTAACATGGAAATTCTAAGTTTTTAACCTCAATCTCACACATGACATACACATGGAACATGTTCAAGGCACTTAAAGAATCCAACATTGCTTCAGATGGGAGCTATGGAAGAGGGCAGCTCCTGGATTATCACTTTATGAGGGAGTTTTGGAAGTTCTACTCAAGACACAAAAATATCATATGGTCATTTATGTTGTAACCCCCCCCCCCCATAATCGAACATGCAGCCAGGGCATGGCTCGTCACGGGTAAAAAGCATGATCAGGGTGTCCTGTTCGCGTGAGAACAAGAACCCCTACGAATGTGCACGCTACGCAAGGATGAAAACAAAGCAGGCTATGCTCAAGCATAACCACAATTTTAAGAGATTAACAGGCGAGCACAGGCCAAGACGTTCCTTCTGAGGTCTTTTCTGGGCATTGTGTTTGGTCGCTGGGTTGGATCCAGATTCAGGCATGTGCCACTGGCCTGGCTGAAGCAGAAGTGCCTAGGACCATCAAGAGGATTGGAGGGCTTCACTTAAAGAGGTGTGCTGCAGTGCAGGCGAAAGTGGGGGTTCAATGAAAAATGGGTAGAGGTACATTTCCATGAGCAGTCCTTCACTCACAGAAAGTGTCTCCGCCAGATATATGGAGCTCCCTGTTCACCACAGTTTCTCTCCCATAAGTAGCAGAGATGCAGTGTGTGCCCTGTGCTCACACACTAAATGTGAGCAGGGCTGTGCCAGGCAGCTTTGCACACCAGAGTGTGCACTCTAGCTTGTGATACTTTATATCACTCATCCTCATATCCTATGTCTCCAAGTGGTTCATAAATCATTGCAAATATCAGTAGGAAGAAAGCCTGCCCAGACTGCTTTCCAAATGGCACATGCTTCCAGATTGCATCGATGTTTGCACGGCTGCAGTTGGTTGTGTGAAGGCTTCCTTACTGTAGATGTTTACAACATTTACCGCAGAGATCAGGGCAAGGGACCAGGTGACATGCCTGATATCTGGGAAAGGATTGGTTCTGCAGCCCACTTTCTGCTTCATCACATGAGCATTACTTCTAAATAGGGTCATATATATAAATATATATATACAGGGCCATATATATAAAGCAAATAAACAAACCAAAATTAATAACAGGGTAGAATCCTTGCCGTTCATATGTAAATGAATACTGCCCCAAGCTGGCTGTAGTCTGCCAACTTCTCGACAGTACTGTCTAACCATTGTCTCCACTGCTGTAAGGACATTGACTGTGAATAATTTAGCCATGTCAATCACATGTGTCAATAGATGAACTTGGGCTTTGTGGTTCAGCTTCTGTATTAAACATTCTTTTTAAGTCTGTTTACCTGAGAAACAACTGCATATGGCCTAGGAAGTCTTTGTTCTGGGAAGGTGGAAAGAGGTATTAATATATTTTGCAGGGGGGTTGTGAGGAAGAAACACAAGAGAAAACCATGAATATCACCTTGAATAGTTGGGAAGAAATGTAAATATATGTTGTAACCCAGTGAGAGAGCTTTGGCTATTAGGTAGTGGGGAAATAAATGGATAGATAGATAAAATAATTAGGAATAAGAAGGCACTGTAAGCAATGTTATGAGAAGCAGGAACCTTAGGGTACAATGAGAGGAAGTAATATAGTGTTGAGGAAAGGGAAGGCTTGTCAACATTGGAGCTGTGGAAAAAATTCACAAAAATCTAAGGAGAGGAGGGCTGTGTGTTGTTTGCAGAATGGCAGAGGAGACTGAAAAAGCTGAGTAAGATGGCAGGGGATTGAAGGGAGAGAATGGGCATTGGCAATTGGTTGAGAAGCAGGCCTTGGTGGACATATGGGTAGCAGACAGACGGATAGTGCAGGAAATCTGAAGGCAAAGGAGTAAACAGGGATCTTTAAGTGAAAAACAAATAAACCTGTATTCACAAAGTTTATTGGAAAGAATATTTGATATTGGCAAGAAGGAAATGTATGAACATGAAAATGCTCATTGCCAGAAATGTGAATCTGTGGAAAGCCAGAGCATCTGGATGTGCTGAGCAGGGAGTGAAATTGATCTGCTAATTCAGATTGACCATCCAGATCCAGAGATGCAGGTCTCTAGTATGAATGAGTCACAGCATATTATATGTCAAATGTACAATGTTAATCTTCATTATTACCATGATTAGCATCCTTACCTCCCAAAGGCGGGCCTAAAAGAACAGGGCAGCACTCCACGATTGTGACGAGTCCTACAGCACTGGAAAACCTCGAAGCACCAACAAGATCCATAAGTGTCTCAAAAAGGACACTGCTGACCATGCCAAAGGCAAGTCCAAAAAGTACTGCATACACAACGAGGCCATTATAGTCATTGGCCAACGGGCACAGGATGTGGCAGACGCCATTGTACAGAACAGCAAAACTGAAGAAATACTGGATTTTGGGCCGGATGTATTTGGAGTTTGCAATGAGGCCCATTGATGGCCTAGCAAACATATCTACAAAAGCCAGGATAGAGAGTAAAAAAGCTGCAGAATACTCATCAATTCCCTTGTGCTTGGCATAAGGAGCTAAAAACACAATTGGGGCAAAGAAGCCAAGAAACATGATCACATTTCCAGACAAATAAATCAGAAATCCTCTGTGTTTGAAAAGGGATAAATCTAAATATTGATTGATGGTTTGACAAAAGGATTTCTTGTCATTTTTGTGCAAGGTAGAGTCTCCTTTTTCCACATCTTTTTTTACAGCAGGTGATGGTCCAACAGGCCTCATGAGGGACCCAGCCACGCAGCAGTTCAAAAGCAGTCCTCCCAAAATGAGAAAGCTTCCCTTCCAGCCAAAGGCATTAAAAAGAAACTGATTGAGAGGTGCCAGAGTACTTAAAAAGACTGGACTTCCAGCCATGGCCAGTCCATTAGCAATGGGACGCTTTTTATAAAAATACTTGCCAATCATTGTTAAGGCTGGCTGCAAGTTGAAAGCCAAGCCTAAACCTGGAAGAAAAGAATAAAAAAGACATCAAAGAGAACATAAAGTTAGTACATTTAATACAGAAGGACTCTGCATTATAATCAACCAACATTAATGCCTCCTCCATCTGAGAAAAGGAGAAAGAACTAAAATGCCACCTTGTAATTCCTGGGAGGCTGGGGGAGAGCCATTGGCACTGGGAAATAAATGTGAACCTTCACTGCTTTCCACGTGTCTTAATGGCATTGATATGCCAGGCTAAATTTCTCTCATTTCGCTCTATTGCGGCACAATAAAAGCAAAAGCTTTAGCAATGTGTGATCCATGTTACAGACAACAGAGCGACAGAGGAACAATGATATCAAGACCTTGAGCACACTGTTTCTGTATTTTACTAAGCTATAATCCAATTTGCTCTTGGTTCATTTCACAGAAGTTATTAAATGTCACCTTCTCGCCAAAAAAGGCAGATTCTAGAAGTATAAATCCTCTGCCTTTAGCTTTATCCTTTACTTAGGTTTGAATAGGTACCCATAAAATAAGGCTTAAACTGCTTAATACAGATGGACCATTACACAGGAAGTGCTGCCCTCATACTTCGCTGTGGGGTCCTGAGCTTTTCCATGGAGAAGAGGCGTAAGCGGACCCTTTTTGTGCACAGAGCAGGATCCCTGCAGGCGGCACAAAAGGGATTGGCCCTGGTGTGCAGGCAGCCAATTTGCCTCTGATAATCTTACAGCTGAGTTGCATTGGTACCCAAAAGGAGGGTAGCCCTGACTGCTTTCATCTTATCTAAGCAAAGATTCCCTTCCTCTACAGATGCTGCTGCTGTATATCTATCTAACTAGCTGCTGCTGTATATCTAATTCTGCACATCAGTTAACAGTTAATTAAAAATGCAGTGGATAGTTTGCTGGACTTGGAGAAAAAAGGGGTTCAGTTTCCTATGCAGTGATGAAACTTGATGTTTGTCCAAGGCAGGTTGCTATCCTTTTGCCTGACCTACTCCACAAAGCCGGTGTGAGAATAAGATGGGATTGTCCTACGGATAGTACCCCGGGGTAATGGGTCAATAGTGGGGGTAGAAAAGTGAGAACAAGATGGTGTAGTTACTAGGCGGTTTTTCATGTTTCTAAACTACATGCCAATCGCATGGCTAACCATCTCTTGCATAATCTTTAATTTTCCAGTCTAACTGTCACGACCAGTCAGAGCATGATTACGACAGCTTTTTAAATGAATGCAATTACTGTGATAAAACACGATCCCTGCTGGCTGATTTGACATATGTTGTTGGGCTTCAGACCACCAAGCTGCTGTGGGCAGAGGTGGGATAGATGCATGGCCACTGTCCTGTGCTGGGCCACTCTGCAGCTCAGTGCTGGAAAGACTGCACTGGAGGAAGTGGCAAGCTGCAGTCTCACCACAAGCTTGGAGCTTTTAATGCATGATCTGACACTGCTGGAAAACATTGCATCTCAAATATGAAAGTTCTCTTTGGACTGAAGGAGCCCTTGATTTTTTCCTTCTCTTCTCTCCCCAGCATTTTCCTTTTACGTTGTGCCTTTTCTGTTTGCAAGCTTGTCTTGCGCTTATTGAATATGCATAAGCCACGTTGGAGCTCTCTGGGCATAAAATCCTTTGCATCGGTGAATACTGTTTGACCTGCGATGCCTCATTCAGGGTACCACGTGATCAACATGTGTGGACCAGCCTTAAAATATAAATATGCCTCCAAAGCAGTCTGCCTAAATGCTCCAGGGTTTGGCTGATGAGCAGAAGGCCTTCTATTGGCTGGATGACTATGGCTCCAAAGCTTCTAGCCAGAACAACAATTCAGTGAGTTTTCTATTAACAGGGATTTTGCTGTCACGGTCTACCCACCTGATCCTCAGGCTTCAATACAGCATTGAAGTGTAACTGAGGCCCATTCAGACACTTGGGAAATACTGATTTCAGAGCTGGCCCCTATGGTAAAGTTTTCCCTCATGCAAACTTGCCTTCAAGTCATGGCAAAAACAAACAGAACAAAACCCTCGTAACACAGCAAAGGGTAACTGAGGATTCGGAATGGAATTGGTATTTGCATTCCATGTATATGAATTTTCTGCAGGGTAGGATAGATATTAAAAAGCACCTATACAGAAATGGAGTACAAACAACTGTAATAAATGCTGCCATGAACCACTCAGTTCCTGTGCTGTAATTATAGTGCAGTGCAGTAAGGATTATGCAAAGAACATGTGCTGTAAGTTGAATTCACAGAATACTCAGATTCAAACAATTGGAAGATGCATTTAAATATTGAAAGAAGTGTGTTGTAGGAGGACATCAGGGAGAAGTGGAAACTGAAGGGCTTTTAATTTGACACTTACCTCCAATCACACCAATACATATGTAAAGCTCTATCACGCTATTGCAGAAAGAAGAGGTTATCATTCCAAAGGAGGCCAGGATCCCGCCTGCTATCATGACCGGCCTGCTGCCATATCTGTTCACCAAGACACTGCTTATGGGGCCTGAAGCCAGAAAAAAGAGGAAGGAGGGTTATTTTCTTCACACATTAGAAATAAGGAGTCTTTTTAGTGATGCATGAGGTGTATGACTGACACCAATGGCATGGAGACATTGAAGAAGTATGTGACTATTCATGTGAAGATGAGCCTTTGAATTTGGGGACAGGCAACATTTGGGATTTTGTGTAGTACTATACCTTGAAACCAGGATTTCAACTATTAAGAAATTGCTGACTTCTTGCAAGGCCTTCAATCATCAGCATCGTCACTATTTATATACCACATTATTTGTAAAACAAATGCAAACACACAGAGAAACCATCGAGGCAGTATCCAGTACTGCCTCAGTTACTTTTTTCAACAAGACAAACAGACAGACAAATAATTTACTAGGTTTTATTTTCAAAGCCCTGTAGTTGCACAAGGAATATTATTGTACACAAGATTATTGTGCAATGGTAAAAAGATTAAAATTGCAGCTGGGAAAGGAAATGATGCTCCTTTAACTCATGTGTGTGGGTGGAGAAGGGTGACCCAGAAAAATCAGACCTCCCAACTATAAATAAATAAAATAGCTTGACCTTAAAGGAAACTTTTCTGGCCTCTGTGAAACTACTCCTGAAAGCTTAGACCTGTAATGTTGTGATCTAGTATACATTGCATGGGTGATAAGACACTAATGCAACAGAGAGCAGTTCTATCAGGGCCATTGCTTCCCACTGAACTTTTCTTAAACCTGGAAGTTCAGCATAAGGGGCATCTAGAACAACAATAATACAAATGTAAGGAAATCAAACACATGCTTCTAGAAATCACGCAGGTATTGTGCATGCAAATAACCTCAGAAATTTATTGGAATTTTTGTTAGTTTGTTTAGCTGACAAGCTTTTATATGTTGCTGTATAAATCATAAATCAATTAATTCCATTTTGATGTCTGAAGCTATGACAGACTGTACAAGAATTATTTGGTTGAGATAAGAAATTTTATGCAATGGTATGGATCACAGACTCTTAACATTTGTGGGCATAAATCAATGTTTTATGTCAAAGGAAGTTTTGTTCCTGTCCTTATTTCTGCATAGAATATGTTTTCACAAAATTAAAACAATCGTTGTTGGCACATGCTTTTCTGTATAGTATCTAGAAGGATATATAACAGGAATACATATGTGAGATGGAGACTGAAATGCTGTCAGACATACTTCGGAAGTTTTCCTCATGCCTGAATATGTTGTTTCACGATCCTAACAGTGTTATTAGTCTCAATTTCATAAGCACTAAATTACCATCTTAAAAAAAGAAAAGAAACCAAAGCAGCCTAACATTTAAAGCCAGTAGTAAAAATGAGTCTGCAATAAAGTGAAATGTCAAGTACTACATTTGGTTTTACTGAAAATCCATCTGTATATTGTCCAAGGTATAAGCTTGTCATTAAAAAAATCCATAAACGAACAAACTTTACATTTCCAGTATGAGAAACTGAGTAAAATATACTGTACATCTGCACAAGTGGGTCTAGTTTAGATCCCAATTTCACCATCCCTAAATCTTAAACAACTCCTGTATGGCACTGAGGGCTTTTATCACTCCTCATAGCACAGCAGAGTGCTGTGTTGATCCAGGAAACAATTGTGTGTGCTGGGACTTCTTTTTCAGAGTCTAGCTATGTCTGAATGTCACATCAAGCCAGGAAACTATTCACTTCCACTTTTTATTTCTCCCTGGAACAAAGGGGTAAACAAACCAGAAAGAGATTGCTTCACTCAAAGAAGCCAGAATCCATAAACCACCTTCCAACCTTGTTGAAAGCTAACTTCAAGCTGGCTTGTTTGGTGTACTTAACCACAATCCCATCAGGTTATCCATGCTGAATGTGTTTAATCATCCACACAATGGGAAGACCAATGCCAGAGTGAATGCTGTTTGTTCATAACATGGATTAACACCCAGAATTCCCAGCTTAAAATACAATCTGCATGTAGCTATCATGTGAAAAGATTTCAAGCAGAGTACAATCATATGAATGTCTTTCTCCTTTGGCAAGGAAAATTTGCTGAAAAAGAAAATGGTGCAATATATCCTGAGGTTCATAGAAGCAGCTGACATCAAGGAAAGGGGGAAGCTGAACTAGATAAAGTGTGAGATATATGATCATGTTGTCCATGCCTGGTTTTTCTTTCCTGAAAAACAGACCTGGACTATGGAAGATTGAGATCAGCACTATGGCATATAGGGGATTAGATTTCCCTCTGTGCTACAACCCTCATAACTCTCTGACCACTACCCACAGTCAAAACTGTTGCTTACCCTGGAGTCAACCTGATGTATTCTTTTGCAGAGGATGATCCTATCATATATCCTATCAATGGGGGATTGCCATCTGTTTTGAAGGCATCCTTGGTCTGAAAAGCTGTCCAGCCTAGATCTAGTTTCGAAGAAAGAACACTCAAAAGGAAGAGCTGAACCTTGAAGTCGCCCATCTTCTAATTTGTCAGATGATCTTATCTGTATAATCTGTCAAAGCATGTCTAATCCTCATTATAACCCCTTTCCTTCACAGGATCCACCCGTCCCCTTCTTTAAGTGCTTTAAGTGCATGGTGGACAAGTTGTGATTCTTCTTGAGCAAATTGGACTTTCAGAAGTGGATAAGGAACATGGGCAAAGCTTCAGGATGTATTACAGCTGCACTTTAGTAGAATTGTGACCATACATAGACTTTCATCTGGTTTGTTCCACATTTGAAACTGAATGGTTAACTTCCCTCACCCTAAATAAACAAACAGCTATAAAAATGCTGGAAAACACAGGAGCAGCCCTGTAGGATGATGCTTTGTGAAAATGATTCAGAAACGTGTGTGAGTCAGTGATCATGAGCACACAAGAAAGAGCTCACCTACAGAAGCCCTGAGACAATGCTGCAATCTCAGGTCTAGATGCCTGACATAGGAATCCACCTACATTTGCTCTATCAACATGTATTTAAGGCTTTAATGGCTATGCACAAATGCAATTGCACATTTAACTGTTCTGCTCATTGTTAAGTGGTGCCTATTATACGATAGCCTATCTTGCTAGTCAACCTTTTTTTCCCTTTTTTGTCATCACTGTCATATTCATGCTGCTGTCCAAGATATATCCCCGACAAGGCAAATCAAAAAGACAACGCTGGCATGGGATGTAAGCTTGCAGCTCTTCATCCAGGAAAAATCTGTTTTCAATAGAAGCTCAAGGACATTAAGCCCATTTCATTCACACCCTTCACTAGATTTTCATTTATTGTATTTGAGTTGATAGAGATCACCTTTGACGCGGAAAAGAGGACAGTTAATGATGCGTGTGTATATGGATGCATTTGCAAGGGAGAGATGGAGAGGAAGACAGAGAGAGGCCTTTATTCAGAAGGGTTCAGTATGCAAGTCAGTGCATGGATAATAGGGTGGGAAGGTAGGGGCCCCTTAAATCTATGTCCCTCATCAATTGCAGACAAATCTTCCTGTCTCCCAGATTTCTTCTAAAAATAGTAGCTAATAAGTCAATAATAATGATGGTGAAGACAGTGGGATTATTCATAGGGTGTCATCCAATTTGTTTTACGTTAATTCTCCAAATTCAGAGAATTATGGGCCTTCCATGGGAGGAGGGAGAGTACAAAGGTTAAGATTGCTTCTGTGCTCCTCTTACACTCCAAAACATGTCCATCAGTGGATTTTGGCCCTCTAAATGTTTTCTCCTCCCAGTGAGGTGGAGAGGGTGAGGTAACACCAGTTCCTTTGGAGGATGGAAGCACCTTGCTCCTCCCCATCCAACCCCCATGGCAGCTCCAAAGATGGTCCTCCATCATCTAGTCCAGAAAGAACTATGTCAGCTAAAAGGGCAAACAGAAGATCCCCTGAGTGTTTTTATGAACTTGGAATGAGGACTCTGACTTCTCCTATGGTTCCCCGGGCAATGTTGGCAGGCTGTTGGATTGTACCCTTAAGCTTTTATTTCAACAAGCATATTGTGTAGCAAAAGGATGGCTTAAAAAGTGCACAGTTGGGTGAGTTCCCAGGATAATCATAAGGAAATAGCGTTCAGGTGCTAGGATAGCCTAGAGATTTCTCTTCTCAAACAGTGATGCTTTAGAAAAGATGAAGGAGGACTCTGGACACAAATTCCAATGTAAATCCCCCAAGAAAGAAGTAGTAGTTATTGGATAATGGCAAAGCCTGGTTACATATTATAGCCACATATTTTGCAGGATGTTCACATGAGGAAATACAAAGCAAAAGGAAGCTTCTTTTGCAGTCTTTGTGGATCACAAGATCTTGAAGGGTCACATTCCTCAACTAATACTTTTTTAAGGATCGCTGACTACCATTCACTATCAGGCCAGTGGTATGTGAAGGATGATCCCTACCCACCCATAGCAGCAGGTTAATGATGCTGAATGTCTGGGTGGCTTCTCTCAAATTCCAAGGAAAACACTGCACTGCTGCCCAAGGGAAGCGAATATTGGATCTGCTGTGGAATAGTGAAGAAGGGTGAACTCTGGCTAACATTACAGTGGATTAGCAGGAATAAGTATGCTACACTGTAAGATATGCTCTGGCAATTAACTGGAGCTTTTCCTTCAGTCAGCATATCCGTTTAGAGATATCGTGAAAGCCCTGCTTTGAAGTCTTGCCGATCATACTTAGCATGGCTAATGCTCGAACCACAGGGGGGATTCACCTCCTAGCAGCTCTGCCAAAGGTACATAGAAGAGGCCATATCTCCATGGTAGAAAGTTGGCATCTGCAGGCAGGTATGGGGAAGATGCCTGTCTTCATCCTGGAGACTGACTGCAAGTCAGGCTAGGCAAAACCATTGCAGTCAGTACTTGGAACCTTCCTTTCTATGGTAGATAAGATGTTTCAGCAGTTTCGTTCATGGAAAATAACACTTCTCGTGGAGAACATCTTGTGGAGATGGAGGAGGAGATGTAAGCTGCCTTGAGCCCTTTGTAGGAAAAAGGCAG